GCACTGCCGGACCGCAATCGCATGCAGTGTGAACGCTCTGATCCGTTAACATGGGCGCGGACAAAATACGCACCACAGACGGAGTGTGTGAACCTGGCGTTACGTTTGTATGCCTGCCCGGTCTGTTCTGTTCTCGTGCTCCATTTAGGCATGCTGCATTCTGATTGGTTCATATAGCATACTGCGGGAGGTCGGGGCGCGGAAAATCGTACTGTAAAGCGATTTAGAAATCGCGCATGCTCAAATCGTGATTTTATGACTATTTCGATTTATCGCACGGCCCTAATTGGCACATGGTTTGTCTAAAAGCAAATTAAAAACACCACATAGACAAATAAACAACATATAAACTTGATTTTCACTACAGGGGGACTTTAAGTGCAAATAGCCCGCCTTGTTGGCAGAGGTTATTTACACTAACTTCGCCCACCAATGTGTGATTGGGCTAGTCAACACTACAAAAGACTATCCCCCGGTTTCACAGACAAGGTTTAAGCCTAGTCCTAGACTAAAATGTAAATCTGAGCTGTTTCAACTGAAAGAAACTTGCACTGACTGATCTTAAAACATGTCAGTGCCTTTGTATAAGTCTAAACATAGCTCCAGTGGCAAAGATGGTAAAGCGTGTGCCGAAGTCATTTTTGACGCGATCGAGGCGGGTTCGATTCCACCTTTTGCCGAACGTTTTTTTTCCCTTTGTTTTCAAATCTCATATCACATCGGGTAGGTGTAGGGAGGGCTTTTATTGTCCCAATATGGTGGCATCCATTTAATAGTTTGAATTAAAATTATGATTTGCACTCAGTACATTAGATATTTGCCACTATTTGCAATAAGCAGAAAATCTTGCTATTTTAACATAGTGTAAATACAATCTATAGTTATTTGCACTTAGTGTTAATAGCATGTCACTAAGAAAATACTGCTATCATCTAACTAAGATTAATAAATGCTGTAGAAGTATTGTTCATTTTTAGTTAATGTTTACTAAAGTAATTTACTAATTAGTAATTAACTAATGAAACCTTATTGTAAAGTGTTTCCAAAATATTGTTCAAATTGTTACTGCCTTTAGTTATTATTTTGGAATAAATGTAAAAATGCATAAAAACACTATGAAATGTATAATTAGTATTTAAAATATTAAATAAAATAAAAAATTTGATAGTAACAGCCTTCTCCTTTTAAAACACCACTGCACGCCACTGGTATGCACATATTTTTTTTTTCCGTTGGCCACAAAAGAAGATATTTTGAAGAAAGGTAGTAACCAAAAAGTTTTGATGACCATTGACTTCAATTTGTATGGACAAAATTATCCATTAGCGTTTCTGAAGAAGTAATTTTAAATCCATTAATGCCTATTATTAAGATCTGTGTTGGTCATCTGATCGCGTGTGATCACCTCTGTAATGGAATCCAAAATGTTTTGTGATCTAATCGTTAAAATTGCATAGAGAAGTAGTGACACACATGTGAACGCATAGTATTTGTAGTGCAAACACTAATGTCCTGGACGACAGTGAAGGGCCACCCACTCACCTGTCAATCCAGAACTGCACCAAAGCAAGGGTTTAAATCGTTGTTATATGCAGTGGTTGAACAGTATAGTGTTAGTGTATACCAATATATAATATAGTGATACCATTACAGTACAGTAAAACCAAGCATAATAATTGTTTTGGTTACATTATTTTACATATTATTTACTAAACTAATTGGAAATAAATCAGTCAAAAAACAATCAATTAAGAAATTAATTTAAAAATTAAGAAATCAAAAATATAATCACTTGAAAATAAAAACGAATAACGGGGGGAGGGGGGGACTGTAACCAATAGTACTCTCAATAATTTGAGTTTGTGTGCACTTGGAATCATATATTCTCAAAGAAAGTCCAGGCAACACAAAATTATCTTACAGTATACAGAGAAAATTACAAAGCGGGAAACCGGATATAGCGCAGCGTAGTTTAAAGTTGCTCATTCGTGTATATATAGAGGATATTTTTAATAGGTATTCAAAAACTATCTCATTAAAATGAGATAAATGTATATTTTCTGAACGCTGATGGCGCATTAAAATACTAAAGTTGTTGCCCCTCTGAGACAGTAAAAAAAAAACAAAAAGACAAAGAAGGGGAATGGGAGTCATATTGACTAGTTACATGTGGCTAAAATACGATTACCATCCAATCAGAAAACATGCACAAAGCACATATATGGTAGAAATTGTGGTTATTTATTTATTTATTTTTTGGGTTATTTTCTTTCTTTTTTTTTTTCTTTTTTGCACAGTGAGGTGCACAATGCACAGTTAAGGTGTTGACACATTTACCGTTGCTCACTGGTTGTTTGCACATGACGTTATTGCTGTGGCATGAAATGCAGCTGGAGGGCAGGAAGTGATTTTTGTTTATATAGGAATCGCTAGGAGTTGCTTAGCCAATATCCACCGCCTCGATGGCAGGCAAGTATTTCAATTTAGTTGAAAAATTGCTCCTCTTCCTAACATAAGGATCATATCCAAAATATGTTGTGATTTTCTATATATACCTTTCTCTTGTAATAGTGTCTAAACCAGTACAGTACGGACTTTCCTCCATCTCATCCATTCTGCTGCCCTCCATCTCAATTTGCGCGTCATCAGGATTGCGTGATGGCAAACAAGCTATAGGAATCATGCCCTCCATCTCAATTTTGCGCGTCATCAGGATTGCGTGATGGCAAACAAGCTATAGGAATCAAATGTAGCCAAGTTTTGCTAAAGTGACCGCACATTTACAGTAGTAAATTATATATAAATTCCAATACAAAAATTTCATATTGTGATCTTGTTGTTTTTGTCAGGTGTATGCTGAAGACCACTGCGACCCCTGTCTTGTAGACCTCCAAGCGCACCTTCCCAAGTACTATGGCACGTGGTCCTCACCAGATGCTCCCACAGGTACACAGATGGATGCATCATGAAGCTATGAGGAGATACTGTACAGCATGTTTAGTCAGCATGTCTGCTCGCTCTCTTCCACAGACCTGTACCTCAAGCTGGAAGACGTGACACGCAGGTTTCAGAAGCCATGCATTATGGACGTGAAGATTGGCCAGAAGAGCTATGACCCCTTCGCTTCACAGGAGAAACGGGAACAGCAGATCAGGAAATACCCACTGATGGAGGAGATCGGCTTCTTGGTTCTGGGGATGAGGGTATGTTTTGTCTTTAAAATCATTTTGTAAATATATATGTAAATATTTTCAAAATAAATACTGTATGTGTGTGTGTGTGTATTTACATATACATAATAAATATACACAGTGCACACACATATATTATGTAAACAAAAACATATTTTGGATGCGATTAATCGCCCCCCTCTTTTATTGTTTAAAGGGGTAGTTCATCCAAAAATGAAAATTCAGCTATTAGTTACTCAACCTCATGTCATTCTAAACCAGGGCTGCCCAGACTCGGTCCTGGAGGGCCGGTGTCCTGAAGAGTTTAGCTCCAACCCCAATTAAACACACCTGAACCAGCTAATCAAGCTCTTACTAGGCATACTAGAAACTTAAAGGCAGGTGTGTTGAGGCAAGTTGAAGCTAAACTCTGCAGGACACTGGCCCTCCAGGACCGAGTTTGGGCAGCCCTGTTCTAAACCCACTGAATGTTAACAGATTATGCTGTTCTGTGTCAGCTGCGTCACGTGGATATGTTGTTTACTGTTGTTTACACTTTGATTTGAACGAAAACAATGTATCCGTGTGTAGTGGTCGACCGATATATCGCCAAGGCCGATATATCAGCCGATATTTGGCATTTTTCAAATATCGGCATC